CTTTGAGCTGGCATGCTGTTCTAACATCTTCCACTCTAATAAACTTTATTTCCCCCTCATTTTGTCTCATGTCTGGAAGTTCTTTTCCAACCCAAGCCTGGACCACAACATTTTTTTTTTTTTTTTTTTTTTTACTTTTCTCTGTTGTCATGACAGCACCTGGTTCTGACTGAACTTAACTTATCTCAAACCTTGTGCTAACCAATGTGTTTTTCTCATGGAAAAACTTTCTTTCTTAAGTTATGTTAATGAACTATATATTTGCTTGGAAATCTGCCTTTCTTCAAGATTTATGTCAATTGTTTTATGGCCCAGGATGACTCACCTTGTGCCAATGCTGTCTCAAAATGCATGTTGTGAGTGAGGGGTCTGGTGCAACTCTAAGTTTTGAGGCATTTCCTTTCTCTAATTAGCAGCTTGCTGATAGGTATATAGCTCCTTGCTAAAAACTAGCAAGGGGACACTGTTTCTGTCTCCTTCTGATGTCAGTCAGAAGCTTTCTCTGTCTCTTTTATACTTTAATAAAACTTTGTCACACAAAAGCTCTGATCAGTGAAGCCTCATCACTGGCCCCACATTGAATTCCTCTCCCACAGAGGCCAATAATCCCAGCGTCCTTCACTCATAGCAGCGACCTTCCACTAGGCTGTTACCTAGTCCTGATTTGAGTTCCTTGAGTCATACAGAAAATTCCCACTGGCTACCTAGTTTACAAATGGTAATGTATGTTTCCATGTTACTTTCTCCATACACTCCCACAAATCACAATCTGATCAAGAAATGGTTTTTTGTTGTTGCATAGAATAAAAGAAGATGACATTTCAAGACAAAGATTTTTCTGATTTGCAATCAGCTCATGAGGCACCCACTGACTGAGCTTTTTCATCTTTCCAATTTGCTTCAAATGCCAAATGACCACAGAATGGTCGACAATGAGCTCTTCAGCAACTTCTTGTGTACTTGTAAGAAGATAAGCTTTGATGGTCCTCTCAATTGGTTGTTGTCATCTTCGGATGGCCGGCCACCGTCCCCCTCAACTTCAAGGCTCTCATCTCCTTTGCAAAACTTCTTGAACCACCACTGCACTGTATGTTCATTAGCAATTCCTGGGCCAAACATGTTATTGATGTTGCGAGCTGTCTCTGCTGGTTTACTACCCATTTTGAACTCAAATAAGAAAATCACTCAGATTTACTTTTTGTCTAACATCATTTCCCTAGTCTAAAATAAATATAAAATACACAGGAAGTAATGACATTAGCAAAAAATATAAAGTGAGAAGTATGCATTGAAATGATGTATAATATAACCACATTTTACCCTATATGCAAAAAAAGAAAAAGAGACTCAGATGTATAGAACAGATTTGTGGACTCTATGGGAGAACGCGGGGGTGGGATGTTTCAAGAGAACAGCATCGAAACATGTATATCTAGGGTGAAACAGATCACCAGCCCAGGTTGGATGCATGAGACAAGTGCTCAGGCCTGGTGCACTGGGAAGACCCAGAGGGATGGGGTGGAGAGGGAGGTGGGAGGGGGGACCGGGACGGGGAATACATGTAAATCCATGGCTAATGCAATGTATGACAAAAACCACTGCAATGCTGTAAAGTAATTAGCCTCCAACTAATAAAAATAAATGGGAAAAAAAAGAATGCATTCCAATATAAAATGGCAAGTTCAACAATGCAAAACCACACTTACTTTTGCACCAACCTTAATACTTGAAGCTATTTCTCTAAAAGATGATCCATAGATTGCCATTAAACTTGAGAAAATGCTCAAAATCACTAATTGTAAGGGAAATAAAAGCAACAGAGATAATACTTCACTATCATTTATGATGGCTCAAATGAAAGAGAAAAGAACATATGTTGACTATTATGTGAATAAAATGGAACAATTTTGCACTGTTGGAAGGAAGCAAAATAATATAGCCACTTAGAAAAGTCATATAAGATTTCCCTCAAAGTGAGAAAAGATAATCATATGATACAATCAAACACCTGAATATATACTAAAAAAAAAAAGAAAGAAGAAAGGCAGTCTCTCTGAGATATTTGCATGCCCATTTACATAGCACATTCTTCAACATAGCCAAAATGTGGAGGCAACCCACGTGTTCCTAGGTGGATGAAGGGATAAGCCAAAAGTTGTATATACATGTGATGGATTACTATTCAGTCCTGAAAATGATTGAAATCCTGCCACATGCTGCACCGTGGCTAAACCTTGAGGATTCTATGTTAAATGAAGCAACCAGATACAAAAAGACAAATACTGTATGCTTTACTTACCTGGGGGCATCTAAATAAGTCACGTTTGTGGAGACAGAAAGTAGAATGGTGACTGCCAAGGGTGAAGGTAAGGGGGAAACAGAGAGTTATTATTTAGGGGGGTGGAGTTCCAGGTTTGCAAGATGATAAAGTTCTGGAGATCTGATACACAGTGAGGTGAGTATGCTAACATGACTGAACTACACTCAAAATTAGTTACAACAATTGATTTTTACATTAATAGGTAGAAACTTCTAAACTTTACTGTAAGATCAGCATCAAAACTACAATGTGTTTTGTGTTGAAATGTGACGTGTTTATTTTCCACTGAAACACACCAAGCAAACTAGAGCTGTATCATGTACATTTTGGAGTTCAGCGTCTACTTAACAGAGAACTCAACTTATACACCAGCATTAGATGTGAACAAAGAACCAAATATGTGTCAGCAGCTTGCAAAGCATTATACAGGATGAACAAAAAAATAAACCACTTCTAACACTGTATAATTCCCTTCATTACAGTCTGAAACATAGGTTTACATAGAGTAAAGCCAACTTACAGGGTTTTAAAAATAATTTTCTTCCACAGTATAGGGCAATTTCTATTTCATCTAATATTTAACTTGCTTTCCTGATTTATTTGAAAGTGAAAATTAACGTTGCTCTACTAAGAACTATTGATATTATACTGTTGGCACCATCAGATTGCACATATGATAAGAAATACACACTTGTATAAAAAGATTGCATTTTTCTATTTCCTTTAGAAATTTAAATTAAATGAATTCTTTTTAATGGCTGAGTAATATTCCATTGTGTATATGTACCATAGCTTCCTTATCCATTCATCTGATGAATTCATTTGAATCAGTTCTAATGAGATGGACAGAATTGTAGCCCATTATACAGAGTGAAGTATGCCAGAAAGATAAAGACCAATACAGTATACTAATGCATATATACGGAATTTAAAAAGATGGTAACGATAACCCTATATGCAAAACAGAAAAAGAGACACAGATGTACAGAACAGACTTTTGGACTCTGTGGGAGAAGGCGAGGGTGGGATGTTCTGAGAGAATAGCATTGAAACAAGTCTACTATCAAGGGTGAAACAGATCACCAGTCCAGGTTGGATGCATGAGACAAGTGCTTGGGGCTGGTGCACTGGGAAGACCCAGAGGGATGGGATGGAGAGGGAGGCAGGAGGGGGGATCGGGATGGGGAACACATGTAAATCCATGGCTGATTCATGTCAATGTATGGCAAAACCCACTACAATATTGTAAAGTAACTAGCCTCCAACTAATAAAAATAAATGAAAAGAAAAAAAGAAATTTAAATTAAGATGGTAGAAGACCCAAGATAATTCTGCAGTTTCATGGAATGGCAAACAATAAAATGAAAGAGAGAGATAGGTGAGGGAAAGAGAGAGATTAGAAAGGGAGGAAAGAAAAAAAAGAAGGAAGAAAGAAAGGGGAGGGAAGGAGGAAGAGAGAGGAGACAAAAGAGAGGAAGAAAGGAAAATAGGAGATAGAATAATACAGCATGAAACAATAATAAAACATGTCATTTTGCTGCTGAAAACTGGGGGAACTTTTCAAAGAATTGCAGCATTATATCAAGAGAATACAGTAATCTATGGAAGACTTAGAACTAAGTTTGGAGCTCAAATATGAGACAATAGGAACAAGAATCTGGTAGAGGCCTCTGAGTAGGTCCCAACTGAGCAACAGTGAGCAGCAGCCTGATGACAGGGTGTGAACCCCTCCCCACAGTCCTCCTGAGCCAAGAGAGAAGATGGAGAGCTGTGACCAGAGAGGCAGGGCCCATCCCCACTGACCCTACTGGGGACCGGCCACCCTTGTGTCCAGAGGACAACCTCCTGGTAGTGACCATGGGAGTGGATGACTCTTCCAAAGTAAGACACCATAAGGAGGCCATTGGGTTCTGAACCCAGACTGTGTGTTGAGTTTCATGGAGCATGACAATGAAGCTCTGAACATGCAGCTCAAGGTTAAGGGACCAGGCTCCCAGGGAGTGAGAGAGAGAGAGAGAGAGAGAGACCAAGGACCAATGCTCTCTCCAAGAAAGTACACCTTCCCTTTCCTCCCCTGCTCTCTGCTGCAGCTAGCCGGACCTTCGTCTTTATTCAGAGATGTCTGTGCTGATGAAGGATCACAAATGGGAAGCTGTCACCTGCCAGCCTGGGTGGTATAAAGTGTCAGTTGAAGTTTGGGTATCCACGCTGACTCCCTGGGGCTCCCAGCTGCTGTCTGCGGGGAGAACCCTGGAGAGGGAGCACTAGGGGCCTCTGAAGCAGGGGCACAGGTGCTCCCTGCTGCCTTGTTGGGTGGCGGCATCAGTGAACAGAAGCGGGAGGTGGAAGAACAGCCACATGCAGGATTGAAGGGAAGCATGGTCTTCCTAACTCTTAATTGGCTCTGGTGACCCAGGCTATCACCAAGAAAGGGACAAGGCCGAGTGTCCTAGGGCCCCTCTTCTAGGTCGTCCAGGGAGATTGCTGAGCACATATTTACATAGATTTAGAAATGAAGGGAGAAGAGAGGCATCAGAGTTTGTGTCATTTAATACCTTCACCAGAGGAAGTTGAACTTGGGTCATGCATGCTGTTTCAAAGACTCTCTGCTAATCACTCTGCCCACTGTTTTATGCAAATTTCAAGATTAAGGTCTTGGATAATATAGGTCATTAGTTCTCTAGTGGGAATGAAGATGCATGAGGACCACGAGTGTGGTGCCCACGATGATGAGGCCACAGATGGCAAACATGACCAGCTCATTGATGGTAGTGTCAGCACAGGCGAGTTTGAGCAGAGGCGGCACATCACAGAAGAAGTGGTTGATGTGCTTGGAGCTGCAGAACGGGAGGCTGAATGTGAAGCTGGTCTGCAGGATGGAGTTGAGGCAGCCCCCGCAGTAGGAGCCCAGCACCAGGCGGGCACAGACCGAGGGGCGCATGGAGATGGGGTAGCGCAGGGGGCTGCAGATGGCCACGAAGCGGTCATAGGCCATCACTGCCAAGAGGAAAGCCTCAGTGGTGCCCAGTAGGGAGAAAAAGAAAAATTGAATGGTACATCCCTCAAAAGTGATAAACTTGGAGGATAAACTTGACAGGAAGTCAGCCAGGGCCTTGGGGGCGATGACAGATGAGTAGCACAGGTCCAGGAAGGAGAGGTTCTTGAGGAAGAAGTACATTGGGGAGTGCAGACGGGCATCCAGGGTGATGAGCACGATCATGGTGAGGTTCCCCAGGACGGCCACCACATACAGGGCCAGGAACAGGGTGAAGAGCAGGGCCTGGGCCTGCAGACCACCCGCAAACCCCTCCAGCACGAACTCCTGCAGAGGCATCTCTGAGAGGTTTCCATCGCCTTGGGGTGACATGGCTCTCAGCTGAGCCACAAGCAGCAGACAGCAGAAAGCAGGAGAAATACAGCGTGAGGGAGCAGGTCAAAGTCACAAGGGAACTCTCTTGGAGAACAGGAACCCTTCAGGGCCTCACAGCTCACTGACCAACAGACCACCAGCTGCCCTGTTTGTCTCTTGATGCACTCAGACTGACCTGAAATGGCAAACATTTCCTCTGATTTACTAATATCTAAGTGTGCTTGGAGGGTTTCCCTGGTGGCTGAGAGGTAAAGAATCTGCTTGCAATGCAGGAGACTCGGGTTCGATCCCTGGGTTGGAAAGATCTCCTGGAGAAGAAATGGCAACCCACTCCAGTATTCTTGCCTGGGAAAACTCATGGACAGAAGAGCTTGGAGATTTACAGTCATGGGGTCACAAAGAGTTGGACACAACCAAGCCACTAAACAGCAATAAAGTATGCTTGAAACACTCACTCTGTGGGAGTCTCTGAGTGTTTGCTACCAGATGGTTCCAGGGGTCATGTCGAGCTGAGAGTCTACTGTGTAAGAATGGCTTCCATCTCCTTGTCCTTGCTTTAAAGGACATGTTCTCCCTTCCCATGGGTTTGATCCTGAGCCGTGCCATTTCTGAATCTTCTCTGGTATCTTATCCTGTATTTTTGCCCCTGAAGGAGATGGCAACCCACTCCAGTACTCTTATCTGGAAAATCCCATGGACAGAGGAGCCTGGTAGGCTACAGTCCATGGGGTTGCAAAGAGTTGGACATGACTGAGCGACTTCACTTTCCTTTTTTTAACTCATTCTTTAATTTCAGAAATTGTTGAACACTGTGCCATCAGGATGTTATTCGATGACAGTTCTATCTCCAGGCTGGTCTACCAGCACATCAAGGCCCTGCCCTCACCAGGCTAGTCTGGTGCTTTGCCTGTCTTTCCTGCAGGCCCTGAGATCCAACTTGACATCTTTGTCCCTGAGCTGGGGCCTTGATGGCAATCATCGTTAGAGATCTCTGCATCCTCGATATTTTAAAGGTTCTTCCTTGCAGTGTCCAGATACTGGACGATCTATGGACGGGGGACAGCCCAGCTTCATGGCCACAGATGCAGCAAGACAGACACTTTAACACATTCAGCACATGGGTATGTCATCTCTGTCCTTACTCCGTGCATCTGGCTCCTTGGCACACCATGAAGGCTTGATTGCTTTGAACACTGGTAACCATTAACATTGATGGCTCAGATGGTAAGGAATCTGTCTGCAATGTAGGAGACCTGAGTACAATCCCTGGTTTTGGAAGATCCCCTGGAGAAGGGAATGTCTACCCACTCCAGCATTCTTGCCTGGAGAATTCCATGGACAGAGGGGCCTGGCAGGCTAGAGTCTATGGGGTCATGAAGACTCAGACACGACTCAGCAACTGATACCTTCACTTTCAACACTGTCACATCTGCATCTTTTGGATCTTCCATAGGTGCTTCTTCCTGTCCCTGTCACAGCCTAGCACTCCCTTATTTGTCCTTAGCAGAGCTGACCACTACACTCACGTGGGACATGGGAACCAGTTCTGTGATGGCCAGAGGAATGGTTGGGGGAAGATCCATCCTAAATGAGAAGGAGTGGTGAAGGAAGGTGGATACAGAGCCATAGTGCCTCCTAGGAAGGCGAAGAGGATTAGTAAGAGGGTGGAAGTCAATTTCAGGGCTCTTTCATGTTCCCTAGAGGTCATATCTGCAGCATCACAGTGCTGGCCTGGGAGTGGCGCTGTGTGGGCAGAGGATGGGTGGTCAGTGGTGCCTATAGAGGAGTGATGACCCTCTAGTTCCCTCTCAACCTTAAGTTTTCTTAGAAGGTGGTCTGAGAGAGCTCATTCTTTCCAACAAAAGAGAAGGTGGACGACCATGTAGGTTGTCCAGTTTTCCTCTTCTGGCAGACTTGACTCCAACTCTCACATGACGGCAGAGGGGACAGTCTGACCTGGATGCTCAGGCAAGGTTCAGTATAATATGTGTTTGAAGCTGCTGCTAAGAGCAGAGTCGGCGGTCTGCCTTACCCTCCATGGCCGCCCACCCTGGCCTCCCACCCACGTCCTGTGCAAACAGTCACTTTCATCATGGCCAAGCTTTTGCTGTCCATTCTGTTCACTCCCTGGCCATACACACAATAGGTTCACCGTGACCACAGTGACCATCTTTTCCCCATCACCACAGCCTGGCTGACTTGCTTCTATGTCCCCTGGGGTTTCTGTTCTGTCTTCAGTTTGCCCACCTCAGGGGCCTTTGGTCATCACAACAGTGACCCCTAGGATGCCTGAGGAAGCCCATGAGTAGAGATTGACAAGTTTACTTCAGAAACCAAGCTTGGTTTCTGAAAAAACAAACTCACACATTGCCTTGGCTTATTGAAATGACTCAACAAGCCTATGGTTGCTGCTTCAGTAAACCTGCTTGTGAGTTGAGCCTGAGATGTACCTTCCCAGATAAAGCAAAAAGGCTACTGTTGTCCACAAGCCTCCATTTGTATTAACTATGCTTAAGTCCTTCAGGTAAACTTGTTACTCCCACAGCACCAGCATCACCTGGAGATTGTCAGAAATATAGAATCTCAGGCATTAGATTAAAGCCTGCATTTATATGAGACCCCTTATTATTTTTACTCTCTTGAAATTTCGGACCTTGCCATAACCGACCCTGGCTCATAGTAGTAGGTGGGTGGCGGAGGGTGGGGTGGGGGTGGGGGGAGAGTGTTGATCAGGCTTCAGGCTCTCAGGACTCATCTGTCAGTGATGCTGATCCAAACCCTGTAAGTGATGACTGAACTGCTCCTGTGATGTCAGAAGGGGCATGACTCACCGAGGACCTTTTGCTCCCAGAGTCAACAGCGCTCCTGACCTAGGTCTGTGCTGATGATAATGAATTGGTACAGAGGACCTTCCACCCTGTTCAGGTCTAGCTTCCTGTGTAGTGAAGTGTGATTGGGGAGGTTTCAGAGAAAGGCACCTGGGGTCACAGTGAGAGGCAGGCCAAGTGCTCCAAGTTCCTGATGCAGGAAACACTTGGGTCTTTAGTCTTGGTACAAGCAGGAGGTGGGGTAGGCTCAACTCACCTGTCCCTCTTTGTCCTGTCCCTGAGCTGGCTAGTATTCATGGCATCTCCATCTTTAGGTCACTCTGCGGGGAAGATGCTCTCCGCATGGTGCAGCTGGGACTCTTGGCCTCAAATGGCCAATTAGCTGTTACTTGGCCTCTGAGTGCACTGGGACTCCCAACTCCCTGGGTCCCAGGAAGATGCAGTCCTGTGGTGAAACTTCCTCTGATACATCTCAGTCCAAACAGAGGAGTCAGGAAGCCAGATATCCCTCCGGAGTACTGGGGTTCATCCAATGAGAAGCAAGTTAACTTAGAGTGACCTAGTGACCCTCTTTGGAAAGGCCTCCCCAGGACTGCAGGTGTGACTTCCTGGCCCACAACCTGCCTTCCTCCTCTGCTTCATCCTGGTGTGTTGGTGTGATGAAGAGTGATGTTCAGGACTCTGTGCCCATGGAAACAACACAGCCTTCTCTAAGTCACATTGTGGCCCTTCCTTCAGTGCAGGTTGAGTAAATGTATCTATTCAAACAAAACATTTTAATCCTGGACAGAAATCCCAAATCAAAGTATAAAGGTGATATATGCATAATATTAAAATGTAGAAACTATGAAAGTAAGCTGAAAAAATAGTATAATAAGTATTCTAAAAAAAGAGCAAGGCTGCTATATCTCAATAATCATTAGACAAAAAGGATTACAGGAGAAAAAATGCTTATAAAGGGATAAGTATTAATGAAAATGTTCAATCCAACTGCATATCTGAAAAGTTTAAATTTTATATGAGTAGTATGATTAAAAATATACATAGTAGAAGCTGACAGAGTTAAAAAGAAATGAAAAACACCCATCATGGTTGATATTTCTCTCACTCAGTAGCTAACAAAAGAAGCAGGAAAATTGTAGTCATATGTTAGAACTGGTTCAAAATATTGGCTAAAGGCACCTACTGGGAATAGATAGAACACTATAATCAGAAACTGCAGAATATAAATTCTCTTGAAACACATAGAATATCACTGAACTAAGGTGTTTTCAAATGAATTACTTAGAAGGAGGTCATGCTGGATTGTCGTTTAGTTGCTCAGTTGTGTCCGACTCTTTTGTGACCCCATGAACTGTAGTCCCATCTGCTCCTCTGTCCATGGAATTTCCCAGGCAAGAATACTGGAGGGGGCTGCTATTTCCTTCTCCAGGGTATCTTCCTGACCCAGGGATCAAATCCACATCTCCCTACATTGCAGGCAGATGCTTTACCACTGAGCCACTTGGGAAGCCCCATGCTGCATTAGGTGGGCCCCACATCCAAAGACTGGTGTGCTTCTAGGAAGAGGAAATGGTACAGAGAGAGACACAGGGTGGTGGGCATGTAAAGACTGGGCAGAGTTTGGAGTGATGCGCCAGCAAGGAAGCAGTGCCAAGGAGCCTCCAGAAGCCAGGCAGAGTAAAGAAGAATGTTTTCCTAGAGATTTCGAGGGCAGCAGACCATCCTGAAAACTTGATTTTGGACATCATTCCTCCAGACCGGCAAGAGAGTAAATTCCTATTGTTATGAGTCACCAACTGTGTGTTAATTAGTTGTGGTGGTGATGGTGCCTGACACAGGAGGGTAGAGAGGGAGCTTGCTTTCACCTGGCAAGGTCAGCAACATATACCTTCACTCCCCTGTCTTAGGAGTATGACGTCTCTCCAACTTTATGTCAAAATGTACTCTGTATAGATCTTGATCACCTTTCCCAAACCTTCCATTTTCTAGTTCAGTTATTTAAAATTGCTTTAAACATGAAAACATAGCTTAACTGCTTGCAAACACCTCTTTAGAAAGACGCTAATTTACTCACTTTTTCTTTGTTTTTTTTCAATAAAGTATGGTATGTAATGGATCTTCCCGCCACCCGCCACGCCCCCCACCTCTAATGTGTATATCTAGATGTGGATTCCTGAATCAAAAGACGTATAAGACAGTGTTTTTCCCCCTCAACTGAGAACTTCCAGGTGTTCAAGGTGGATTTAAAAATGGACATGA